AACGATTACAGCAATTTTCTGGACTAACTCTGGTTTTATTTCATTTGTATAATACGACCTATCGTGAAATCTACAAAGGGCATAATTAAGTGTACTAGCCTACAAGATTGTTGTATGAAGTTATGCTGCAACACTGTTGATAACCGACTGAAATATTAAATTTTAATCCTCGCTATGTTACAGAAATATAAGCAGCTATTATTAACAACATTTAGGACGTCCAAGTGAATTCTATGAAAAAAAAAATTTCATTGTGCCTGCAGTCTTAACAAAAACAGACTTAGTTGGCATAGCGTCTGCCGCGGTATGCTAGAAGACGTCGATTCGAATCCGGCCGGATCGAAGGAAATTTTTCCAAGTGTTCGATCTTTGTATTAATAATTATAACAAATTTGTGGAGTAATTTCACAAAAAATAATTGAATATCAATTCAAATAAATTTAAAATACAGTGAATAGCGACACCTCTAGCCGGGGCTGGTAGCTGTAATGATATGTAACTGGGTGATGAAATACTTTCATAGATTTCTCATAGATGGCGCCACGCTAAAAAGTCGTTGAAAATAAATACCATTTTGTATTATGTATTTGGTATTTATACCAATAAATACCAAATTATTTCTAAGTCGAACACTTGTACTCTTTGTACATACTCATAATTGTAAAAAACAGGTTCATTTTGCGTAAACAAACTTGTAAAAGATAAAGGATATAAACTACTCGTATAACGTTTTTGTTGTTTGTTTTTAAATTGGTCACTAGTCTTGTAAATTTTCAGTTTGATATTTACGTTCTTTCTTCTCTTAAGTATCGATATACTTATGATGATAAATATCACGGGATTTACTGTAAGCTTGGGTATCTACTTAAGCCAAGTTACTTAAGTGCATGTGCTGTTTAAGGGGCTGTCTTGCTGCCTTTGCAAATCAGTAGGTATCTAGTGTACCACCACGCATAGCTGGTGAACTTTGTAGACGGGCCTTTAAATCTATTATTGCATAGCATAATTCATAGTCCAGTAATTAGCAAAATGTTGGTTTATTAGCCTGGTTTTCTGTAGAAAGTTCTTGGTTTGATAGTTGGCATGGACTCATGGCGTAAACCAAGTACCTAGAGTAATAACTATATTGCACTCTCAATAATAAAGTGAAGAATTTCGAAAACTAAACTTTTTAGGAACATGAAAACAAGCTCGTATGTTAGTGTAACTTTATTTAGAATATATAATATTTAACAAACAGTAACAACTTAAAAAGAATTCAATTTGAAAAGATGTTTGAATATCTGAGATTGTAAAAATTACAGTAACAACAATAGACGAAAAAAATGAAATCCCTTTGACTTGCATATAGGGAGCCGAGATCGCAAAAGTTTGTTAATGAAATAGTAAAAGATCCTATCATTGAAGGCTTGAAATAAGTAAAACAGATCCAGTTCTTAGGTTTTCGCGATTGTTACACATAGGAAATGAAACTATTTTTCCGCGTATATTTGTTTTTTCAAACAAACCGACGTTTCGGACCCTTTACAGGTCCCATTACCATGTCAACAAAATAGTGTTTTGTAGGACGGAAGCGCCATTTCGAATATTTTTTCAAGGGAGCATGTTTTAGGTTTTAACGACTGTTTTAAAATATTTACGTCCTGTTTTAAACTTCAGTTTTGGTTTTAATTAAGTTTTAATTAAACATGCAAAATGAGAAAGTCCAAAATATGCTTGTTACTGGCACACCTCCTATGTATACATGCTGATTACCCTAAGCCTGCCTGCAATGGGCAAATTTGTGTGGATATAAGGTGGATTTGTTTGTATTAATGGAATACACTTCCAGACACATAATTCGAGCCACCACGCATTTTCAACATTAAGTGCCCTAAGCTTAAATGATGTTTGATTGATCAAAAACTTTACACAAATTTGAATCTAGTATACTAAACTTCTTTTCCATAAGTCCTTGTTAGGAATTTGGATTTGCAAAACCGGGGGAAAACTTTTTCTTCAATTATATCACTATTTTTGTATTCTAACCCTTTATGACAAACATGCGAGGTGGCTCGAATTATGTGTCCGGAGTATATTATGAAACATTGTTAATTTACTTAAGACAATAAGTACTAATTGTTGGTGTAAAGTTTTAATTCATGTAGATTTAGACAAACAATACATTAGCGTTGGCCCTCTATAGCAAACTATAAGTACGTCATTGTATGTAATTAGTGTTATTTAAACTATTGCACTATTTGTTCTCTTAACCATTGAAATGAATTAGTTTGAAACAGGTCACGGGAGAATAGCATAAAGATAGGTTTACAATTTATGTCTTATGATCTATTCAAAGCTCTGTGCTACCACATACATTTATACTAAGGTTTACTTACTTAAGTATAACACATTGTTGTACAAGCCACTCTTCATTAATGTGAATTTTTTAATAAGTCACACTTGGCACTACAATGTTAAGTTGCAGATACCAGTTTGTTACTTTATACCATATGATAACACAATTTTACCAAGTAAGTGCCATTTCAACCAAAAGGCTGATGTTTTATTTTTTGGGCAAATATTGCAGTAAAGATAAAGTAAAGTAATCACATTCGATTTAATCTAATTGTTGTTTTGACTATCTATTGAGCATGTTTTTGTACAAACATGTATGGCTCTCAAGTATTATAGTTCCAGGAACTACATCTGATGCCGGAATGATGATCGGTCCACTCTGAGATATCTAACTACATAAATAGGTTAGTTCTGCATATGTTCAAGGCAAACATTCTGACCAATATTCGAGCAAGGTCAAGCGAACTCTGATGTGATATCAGTGCAAAAACAATGGAACAGGGAACTATTATTATTATTATTATACTGTATTTATAGGTTAATGCAATTTCTGTTTTGTACAATAATATGTTCTGGGAAGTGCCCTAGAGTGAAAGTGAAGCTCTTGTATGCATAGTATTGGGAATGCCCAGTTTGTTTGAGACCAGGTTATTGGTATGGTTATCTGCTCATTATTACATAAATATTAAGAATTTCATTTCACACTCTTGACCTTGACATCTGTAACTGTATTTACAATTTAAATGTTTAGGTAACTATTTTCGGAATGTAAATGAACCATTCCACATTCAATCCATTTGTGTATGCCTACTTGTGAGCTATGTAACAGCTACTAGAGAGTCCAAGCAGCTATTCTTTGAGCTCAAGTCTGAATGCACACGGGGGTCAATTTTCAGTATCATAACGATGACGTCAGAGACGAACATTCGATTCTCATTAACAAAAGATTTCCTCTCTCTACAGAAGTGGCACAAGACCCAGATCTTGAATGAACTTTGATGGCAAAATTACCTGGTAACATTGGCAAAGTACGCAGTATAAGTTTGGTTACGTTTTATGACTTTGAAGATGGTGCGGTGGGAGCTGTAGCGACGCGTTGCTGCGCAGCAGAAAGTTTCGGTGTGGTCGTGGCTAATGCCCGTAGCTGTTGCTCGGCCGTCGCGTTCACCATCTTCGTCACATTAGCCTTCATTTTATTCCTTTCAATAGCGGGCAATTTGCTCTTCGCCGGCGCGTTACTTCGTTTAGTCACCGCTTTACCTTTACCCTTCTTAGTTTTAACGCCAGATGGCAATTTACTTTTTACTTTCAACTTGCCTTGAGCCATTTTCACAAGGAATTATTGACAATTTGCAGGAATTCTCACGAAAATAAACGTTTCGCCTTCACGTGGTTTTGTTTTGACCTACGTCAATATGACATATTGAATTGACGTGTGTCATATTGATTGTGACGTTAATGTTTGCGTTCAGCAATTACAGTTACTTTCATGGCGCTGGAATAATGCAAGTTTGTAACTCATAAAATCTTATATTCCGGATTGGAAGATCTTACGCAATACCCATTATTATAGATTACAAGTAATTATATTATATTTGATTTCTCATTACTATAAACCAGTACGTCTTTTTTACGTGCAACATATTTCAATAAGATCCAAAATACACTAGAGCCCAATGTACCACAGAGTTGACTGTACTTAACTAAAATGCAAAAGCTATAAATACTGAGATATACATTTAAAGGGTGTAACAGAAAGGTAATAACTACAATAATATCCAAGCCTTTCACATACAATTATCTGTATGACCACACTCGATTAATATCAGAGTAGATAATATTGTAGCAAACCTTTTTTAACCGACTTCAAAAAAGGAGGAGGTTCTCAATTCGTCTGTATGTACTTTTTTTTTTGTATGTATGTTACGCGATAACTCCGGTATTTGTGAACCGATTTTCATGATTCTTTTTTTGTTGGAAAGGGAGTATTTCCATAGTGGTCCCATTTCATTTTGAAGAAAATCATCCACCTCAAAGGATGGCTGTTCACGCATGAAGATTCATTTTTATAAATAGCGCCTAACTTTAATTTAGGAGCAATTACTTTTAGCAATTATTTAGTTGATTTTGCTATTTCTCCCATTCAAGGCGTTTTTCTCTCGATATACTTTGAGTAGTGTCGTAGTGAGAACCTAATTTTTATTATCTCCAGTATCAAGTCCTGTATAGTGGCGAACTAGGTGATATTTCAATGAAACTTAGCAAATAGACGTAATTCCACGTACTTTTGAGGTCGGTTTTTTTAGTAAGTACTCTGTACTGAGATTATCTTAAATAAAATTATTATATCAGTTATATTGTATATACACACCAGCTGAAGTACTGTCGGATCGTTTTGTTACATCTGTCTACTTATCAATCCTACTCGTATAACTTGAAGCTTTTGTGGTGTATAAGTAGGTACTTATTAAGGGATAATATGTTGAGCGGTATTTGTTCGTCAAGCCGTAAGTCACCCTTGTCAGCTGCAAGCACATAATAAGTCCGCCTAATACCACTTTACTTATTTACTTCTCGGTTAATCCCTTGCGAATCGCTCCACGGCCTCTGCAGAGTTTTACACATTTGAATTAAATGAAACCACGACCATAAAGTTTTACGGACTTTTATTCGTAAATCGACTGTTGCAGTATATGAATTCGAGTTTCAAGTTAAGAAATATACATAATATATAATATCTAAATATACTTTATGTACAGACAAATAGAAAAGTAGTCGAATATAATAATCGGCTATCGATAGAGTCGAGCGGCGAGAGTGCAGGCGACCGGCGGAAAGCGGTGCGGACGAGGCGCACCTCGCCATAAAACTTTTAGAAAAATAGATAAATCGCTCAAAAACGTCAGAATCAGTCGAAAAGATAGAAGAGTGGAACTCGGGCGTCACTACGTGTGGCACAACCGAGACGAGAAGTTCGCGAGGCGCGCGGTCTGGCGAGCAGCTCGGTGAATGGTTCACGCGTACTCCGTGTCTGTGGAGAGCGAGCGCTCGGCCGGCGAACGGCGCCCGCCCTCTGCCGGGCCCTCCCCGCCCGCCTGCGCCTGCGCATACGCCAAGCTCTTCTGGTAACTGAACAGCTGCCGCTCCAAAGAGTAGTTCTCCGCCTGCAGAACGGCGATCTCGCGCCTGCACAAACAACATCAACACTAGATAAATATTGCCTCTTACTAGCGAAACTAACTAAAGTAGGTCAGCGTTTACCTCATTTGATGCGCGTGTAAGCGACACAAATCGTCGTAGACATGATAAGTCGCTTGAAAAAGTAGGTAGGTATCGCCCCACTCAAGGCGCACGCGAAGTTCGCCACCGGGGTGCAGGAAGGGCCCCGGGCGCGAAACCTCCTCAACGCGCAGCGCTGTCTCCATCATGAGCCCTTCATCGGCGTTGTCCTGCGCGTAATAGTGCTCGAAGGGCGCACCAGGCAGCTCTTCCGCCTCGGGTTCACCAGGCGCGGGCGCCGCGCGGACCAGCCACGCCGACCAGCTCACGTAGCGCAGGTGATTGCGCGGCACGTGGTGCACGTCGCGGTACAACATGTGCAGCCGCACTGTCTCCGAGTGCGTGTCGCAACGGATGGCCCATGCCTGTTTGTCGCGGTCGTAGCACGTAGCCGCGCGTCCATTGGCCGCGACCGACAATTCGGCGAGTGCGCGCGCCCACAACAGCTCTACCGTCAGGCGGATGCCCTTATGCGGCACGCGTGTGGCGGGACGCGGAGTCCACGACGTGGTACGGCCCTCCGCGTCGCACACGCACTCCAGCGGACCTGAGTGCATGCGCCGATCACCCTCGCCGAGTGCTAGGGCGTAGCGCACACGGCAGCGTTGGCCCTCGCCTGAGAGGCGCAGCAGCCGCAGCGATAGGGGCTCCTTGCCGACACCGCCGGTCGCCGACACCGACCAGTCGAAGCCGGCGAAAGCTATGGGCGGCGTGTCCAGTCGTGGCGCTCGCAGCTCGCACGAGTAGAGCGTGCGCACGCGTGACATGGTAAGCTCCAGCTGGAACTCTCCGCGTGAGTCTGCGAACTTAGCATTGAGCTCGACGATGGAGACACAGCGACCACGACCCTGCGCCGCGCACCCAGCGTTGAAGCGAACCTGCTTCCCCGAGAAGCCCTCATTGGCGGTAAAATGGTCGCGGCTCAACAGAGTGAAAGTGAAGTCCACATAGACGCGCATACCCTCGCATGCGCCGCGCCACACAAGGTATACACCTAGAAAGAAGGAAGCTTTGATTATACATTGGTAACGTTTAACGCCACACCATTTCATGCTGAATTTCGAAAGGACGGAAACTACAAACCGAGAGACGCATCATTGCGACTGAATGCGACAGCCCAGCGCTGGTGCGCGCAACAGAAGTCTTTGGAAGTGACGTCGCGGTCGGGCTCACGCGTGGCGGAGCGCGTCACGACGAAGGTGAAGACGTGGGTGTCGGCGCGGTCCTTGAGCCGCGTAGCGCGGTACAGTAGCGCCATGCGCCACAGCGCCGCGCGCCGCACTTAGGCCGCGCCGCTATCGTTGCACACACTTTAAACAAATGATTTTGCTGTTGGATGACCAATATTTAACAATATAATTATAACTACCATTAATAATTACCAACACGCAGCCGTCTCATGCCGACAAACAATTTTTAAACACACATGCTATAACGTAGATTTTGATTTTACACGTCAAACGGCAAATGTTTGATGAGCGGGAAACTCCATTCCGGTGAAATCCAATAAGTTAAAAGAAGAATAGAAAGATGTTTTACTGAAAAACCTTTACTGTGGCAATGAGAGATTATGGACTGATGTCGGAGATGTTATTTGTTGTTTATGTTATTCAATTGATTACTATTACTGTAAAATAAGTGTGAAAGCCATGACTGTAACTCTTCAGCATTCTCTCAAAATTTTGTCCATATCACTAAACTCGGTACTAGCAAAATTGTTCACCTATCTGGTGCAAAGTTACCATAAAAAAGTAGTATTTATCTACCATAATCATCATCAACCCATTTCGACGAGGTTCAAGACGAGGGTTTAGGCCATAGTCCACCACGCTGGCCCAATGCGGATTGGGGACTTCACACGTTTTTCGAGGGTTGTGAACCTTCTTCAACGTGCAGGTTTCATCACGATGTTTTTCATCACCGAAAAGCTCATGATAAATTTCAAATTTAATTTCGCACATAAATTCCGAGGTGCGAGCACGGATTCAAACATACAACCTTCTGCTTGAGAGGCAGTAGATCAAACTATTAGGCTACCACGACTATATAACCTACCATAATGTAAATAGATAATTCATTAACGCTACACTTATAATACAAATGATGAGAAAAGTTTGAGAAACGGCAACATTCGCGGTAAACATATCATTCATTAATTACGGTCCGTTTTTCGTTAGTAAGTGTTCAACGCAGTGGGCGCAAACAGTTTGTTATTACTATTCGAAATCGTTTTGGGGAAGAGAAACTTATTACAAACACTACGGGTTCTATTCAATATAATGTACATTACTGGGCTGTCATAAATTCAGTAGAATCATTGCCATACACTCTACACAATGTATTATGAAAGCTACTCGATTTTAGTCACGTATCGACCTGCCAAGTTTCATTGTATTGTGACGCGGGTACGAAATTGGAAGTATCACTAAAAGCTTGTACAATATGGGCAGGGACCTAGTAAAGGGTGACAAAAATATGCCTATAGAAAAGTAAACTTGAGTTCGAAAGTTATTAATCAAAAATGCTACACACTTAGATAAACCATTGACCATGAACGGCGCATTTCTCAATTTCTTTTTTTTTCTTCAAACATTAGAGTTACTAATTTTAAATAAAAATAGAGCACATTTTCCACCTTGTCTGTATAATCGATACTATCTTTACATGGTTGTGCACATATACGTGACATGGTCACAAAGAAGCGCTATTGACAAGCTATCTCTGAGGGTAGGCGAGGTAGCTTTTATGTGACGTGGAACATAATGACAGACGTGGGCACAATAATATCACAGTCTTCAATCACGGCTGCGGTGGATGACAAAGGTAGAATACTGTAAGCGAGAAAGTTATTTCCTACTGTGCTGTAACTGCAATGTTATCATAATGGTATGCAGGAAGCCTTTTATTACACCATAATAGTTGTCATCTAAATTATATCACCCAAACTATATCATTGCATTATAAACTAACTTACGACGTCTGTGTAGTGCTTAGGAGAATCGTTAAAAGTATCATTACCAACAACCAACTCTCCTTCGACTTTCGGTGTTGCAAAAACAATTTTCCTTTCCTGAAACTTTTCGTTGCCCGCCGCAAACTTAAAGAACGTAAGAAAGCTTTTCTAAGGAATTCGAAGCTTCCAACTCAAGATTTCTACGCGCTTACAACCAGGTTCACCTTACGTAAAATATAACCATATTTTACGTAAAGTTAATGTATTCATAGTACATAAATAAATAAGTACTCAATAATTGACCGAATTGTAGACACAAGATGGTGACACCTTTTTAACGTATTAAGCCAGTAATTTGGGCACTAATCTAAATCCTAATCTAATGTTGGTGCCAATATTCATAATTTACTGAAAAAGTAAACGGCCTTTGTCTACCTAGGACTTTTAAAAAACAAGTTAAAAAGTTTTACGTTTTTTTTAAAGTACTCTTAATGGAATGGATCGAAATTCTTATGGACACTGAAGGTTCTTTAGAGATCGAAAGAAAACTGACGAGTCGGTGTTAAAAATTGTGACTTAATTTCTATTAAAATTAATGTCTATTTCAAACCCATCAAATTTATAGATTAACTTAACTCATGGTTAGAACGAAATAATCGATACAAAGTAAGAACCTATAGGTAAATTTAACGACAACAATATTATGATTACGATGTGTCGAATATAAGCAATAAACGTCGCCGTCTGATGGGCGACAATAGATGTCAAATAATATTAATCTACATCGTAGTTGTACCTACTCACTGGCGACAACAGTCCTACGGCGTGTTTATACGGGGAGACTTTTTATTACTTCACGGACATTTAAGAGATGACTAACAAAACTTTTCCATACTGTGCAGCGGCCTGATAATTTTCGTTAGTAAAGCCTGAACAAAACACCTGTCTTAAGAAAAAGTGGCGCCTTGGTGACACTTAAGCATAACACTTATTATAACACAAGATACTAGTACACTTCATTTCACTGGTTAAGTAATTCTACACTTAAAAATTCTTAATTCTAAATATTTTTTTTTTATAACACCAAGTGACGGGACGAGCAAGTCGTGCGCCTGGTGAAAAGCGAAATGCCTATCCATAACAATCGCAATCCCACTCAGTGTGCTTTAAAACGCAAAGATCTTAGTGGCACTGGTTCTGCACCCGTCACCCTGAGACATAAGTTAGTCTCATGTGCCTGTAATTTCAGCAGCATCCTTCTAAACCCGAACGCAGTAGCATCAGTAATGCTCATATTTCTACTTGGCGGCAGAAATAGGTAAGGTACATGCAGGCACTACTTCCCTGGACGAACTCTTTCACAAGGAACTCTACTGCTACTTGAACTTCAAAATATGTTTTTGTAATATAATAATAATATTTGACAAAATACGTGAAGAATTTTAGGCAAGCCGTTGAGAATCGAGTTATAAGGATGCCTCACCACTGATACTGTGATATTTAAATCCAGATAAATAATATCAATCGTTCCAGTCTTTTTAGACGAAGTCACTTTTTGAGTGAATTTTCACAAGTCGTAGAAAGCTGATTTAGTTAATACCTCCGTTCTTTATAGAAGTTTTGGGTTAATCTATTTTTTAATAAATAATTGAGCAGTATAAAAGCATCGTTTGCAAAGTATCCCTCCAAACGACTTACCTTTAATAATGCTACGAGTGTAACGTATATTGCATCCATTTGCTTACTATATCTTCATATCATAAATGGCGGCCCATGAACGTATTAAAACCGCCACGATTTTCATAAAAGCATTTCGAAGTGAAATGGAATTATAAAGCAAATATCCCGCCGTATTTGTATTGAATTGTAAAGAAAACACCCACGTAGGCTTACAAACATACCATTAAGACTGGTGGTTACGCATTTAAGTTGTTTTTCGTGATAGGTACTTAACAAATTATTTTTATGTTGATAGAGTGAGTAGAATTTATAAACCTGCTAAAATATAAGAAGTCCTAATTTATTACGATCTTTTTTTAAGGCATATACATGAAACCAAACAACCGTTACTATAGAGTTTGAAAGAAAATGCAACTATGTTTTAGTAGCACTAGAGTTCCTTGTAAAGAAGTTCGTCCAGTCCAGTTCCGCCAAGCAGTAATGTGAGCATTACTGCGTCCAGGTTTTAAAGGTTAAGAGTGTTAGCGAAATTATAGGCATGAGAGAGACTTGTTAACCTATGTCTCATGGTGACAGCAACACTGGCAGTGTCATTCAGATATTTGAGATTCAAAACTCTGAGTGGCACTGCATCTGCTATGAGTCCGGTTATTTCGTATCATAAACAGTCATCATTAACATTTTCGTTAGTCGTTTTAAAAATTGAAGTGAAAACAAACTTTAAGGCTATTTAGAAATCAACATAGGCCAACATTTGTCGCGAGTGTCATGGGCACACGCATGGAGAACCACAAAGTGCACCCAAACTCACGAGAGAGAAATAAATGTAAACCATACAAATATCTCTCCCGGCCTGGGAATCGAACCCGGACCTTTGCGTGGTAGTACAGCATGGGAACCACGGCCACGGAGGCACGCCACGGAGGTGATTTGTGAAATAAAAACCGCCCTCATCATTTATTTGGCAAGTTTTATTGAAATCGATTGATGGAAAGTGGTTGAAATACAATAAACTGTATTCAACCCCTAATCAACCATCCTTAGAGGTAGAATACTTTCTTCAAATTTGAATCGGACTTCTACTGAGGTACCCCCTTTTCAACAAAAGAAGAATCGTCGAAATCGGCTAACAAATGACGTGATATAAACACAAAACAAAAGCAGTCGAATTGAGAACCTCGTCTTTTATTTGAAGGCGGGTAAAAATATATAAAGATTAGTTGGAAGAAATCCCTTCATGGGATAAGATCCACTGTGTACACTAATATTTTAAATTGTTTCTCAAAATTTATATTTTACTGTGTGATACAATAAAGTATTTACAAACATATATAAACCATTACAGACATTCTTTTGTTTTCCATACCATTCACCATTTAATGAAACAAATATACAGTCCGAAACAAAGGAAAGTCCGAAAATTAAGTTGGTTTTTGTCTGCAGCGATTGATAATTGTCCGATGAATAAATAGTACAAAGCCATGCGATGTGGTTTCCACTTTGACAAATTTTAAGAGCTGTCAACGAGTTTGCCGTCTGTCGACAACACAAACACCGGTTTTGTTGCCAGGCAACAAAATGACAACGCGCTTTTGCTCGTGTATTTTATAAAGCAGAATCTTTATTTAATTCATGTATTAATTTATAAAGAGTAGCGATTTTCACACGATTGCGTCT